GTTCAAGGGGTATGAATACTTTTGCAAACCACTGTATATTCTTAATAACTTTTACTAGATAATGATGAGTAAATATTACAAGAATTTGTAGCATTTAAATTTACTTCAACGTGCAAATCGTTTTACAGGATTTTCTCTAGTCTTACAAGTTATTTTACAGTGTAGAGGACCTTCATGGTGGCATCAGGGAGAGAGCTGGTGTTATCAGGTAGTTGCTGTATCAACACTCAGTGAATGATGCAGGAGGACTCATCAGTCGATGGGGGTTAACTTGTGGGTTTGATCTGTCCTGGTGGTCAGATTGTGGGACACGTCCTCAGTTTGACCTCAGGTCCCTGATCAGACCAGGATTAGGGTTCAGGAAACCTGAACTCCATCATCTGATTTTTCTTTAAGTATCAAAAAATCAATCGATTTTTGATACTTAAAGAAAAATCTGACAGAATCCTCAGACATCTTTGAAATGAATTCAAACATGAAATTTTAAAACTTCTCGACTTCGTTGAGTTTTTATTCCTGATGCAACATGAATTCGTTCAGATGTGAAAGAACAAAAAGTGAACGTGGGCGAGAGGAGGAGAGGAGGGAGGGAAGGAGAGAAGGAGGTCAGCGGCTGATCAGAGGACGGTGAGGAGGAACTGAGAGACAGCCATGAAGGAATGAAGTGTGTGTGTGTGTGTGTGTGTGTGTGTGTGTGTGTACACTCAAAAATAAATGCATCCAAATCCAGTGCCATAAAAAAGGATCTATGTTCAGGATGTGATGTTCTAGTTGTGTTTTTTGTAAAATTCAGGAACATTCTGGAGCAGACAAAAATCACAGCTTTTATATTTCATTGGGGCGGTTTTTATGCGTGTCGAAATAACAGATTATTTTAGTTTTGTTTCTTAAAGCTGTCAGATGTGTCTCTATGAGAAAACTTATTCTTCCTACTGAAAGTTTTCAAACTTAGACGACCAAAAAACAATCGACAGATTTAGACACCTCATCAGGGAAGTTTTAAAAATAAAATCTGCTGTGACTGAGTTCTGTCGGGTGATCTGTGGGACCATAAAGGGTCAGGTGATCNGTGTGTGTGTGTGTGTGTGTGTGTGTGTGTGTGTGTGTGTGTGTGTGTGTGTGTGTGTGTGTGATGACACACTACCTGACCTCTCAGGTTTCAGTGAAGTGGATCAAGGCGAGACTGAAGTCTGCAGATGGACCCAGTGAGAGGAAGACGGGCTGGAGGACAGATGGTCGGCCTGCAGAGACGCAGGTGTTTTCTGAAGTTGTTCTGGAGGAAACAGCAGCAGCAGGTAAGACCCCGCCGCTCGTTGTGTGCGGACTCACACCTGCGTTCAGCTTCAGCTGATCTTCTCCTCAATCAGCCGAAACTTGGTTCTCAGATGCCTCCAGGTTTGGATTTAAATTAAAACTCAAAACAAAAACTGCTTCAAATATTTATTTTCTCTTTAATGAAAGAGCAGAGAGAGGAGGTTTAATACTGTGTGTTTTTGTTAGAGTGTTTGTGTGTTTGTGTTAGAGTGTTTGTGTGTTAGTGTGTTTGTGTGTTTTCTGTAAACAGTGTGTAAAAAGCTAAAACTTGGTCAGTTTTACAGACGATCACCTGAAGTCTGGTGTGGGAGCAGCTGAGCACCCAGAGCTTTAACTGACAGAATCAACCCTGTTTGTCTGTTAGCAAAATATCTCCTAAACTTATGGATGGATTTTACATGGACAGAGGACAGTCAGGTGGACAGAGGACAGTCAGGTGGACAGAGGACAGTCAGGTGGACAGAGGACAATCAGGTGGACAGAGGACAGTCAGGTGGACAGAGGACAATCAGGTGGACAGAGGACAGTCAGGTGGACAGAGGGATCTGTGGATTGGACAGGAGAGTGTCAGATGGACAGGACAGTTTGGTGGACTGTCAGGTGGACACAGGTTAATGCCACAGGTTACTGTCCATTGGACAGTCTGTGGGACAGTCCATTGGACAGTCTGTGGGACAGTCCATTGGACAGTCTGTGGGACAGTCCATTGGACAGTCTNTGGGACAGTCCATTGGACAGTCTGTGGGACAGTCCATTGGACAGTCTGTGGGACAGTCAGATGTCCGGGGGACACAGGTCAGGACCGGTCCGTCTCTCCTGCAGCTTCAGGGGGATGTGGTATCAGAGGAGCCGGCCRCAGGAAGCTGTGTGTTTACGGAGGTTAGCGTTACTGCGCCACACTATCCATCACTAAATCTGTCTCAGACTTTTAATAGTTTTAAAGAGAAGCGCAGACTTTGAGCTTCACCGTGGGTTTTATACGACCCCGAGCCGTCCGGGGCTAGAGTTCAGCTTAAGACAGCAGACGCAGTATTTATAGGCTGCTGGACTGTTCAACTAGCTGATCAGGGATCAGATATTACCAACTGCTGTGGTTTAAATTAGCTCAGTGAGGCAGTGGCCAAGCTAACCGCTAACCGAACAGGGTCACGCTGAAAGGTTAACAATCTGCAACAGGAAACAGCGTTTGGTTGGTCAGATTAACGCTGCAGGTTTCGCTTCAGGACAGTAGGTGAGCTGAGAGCAGGGCTGGCAGMTTCTGGCTCAGTAAAACCCAGAGAGGATTATCACACAGCTCCTGTTTCTGAAGGAGTCTGAAGCTAACGGAGCTGCAGCTTTTAGCTACACAACCTGACTGGCCCAAACAGGGCAACCCATCAGGACCAGAACCATAAAACTGACACAGAACCCATCAGACCTCCAGGTTCACGTCTCATATGAATTATTGGGTCACTGCTGTGGCTCAGTGGTCAGCAGGGGCGCCAGCAGAGGGTGGGGGGCTGAGAACAAGCTGGCCACCCCAGTGGCCCCCCCAGCTTCATCCTGTTGAGTACTCAGGTTTTTCCCTTTTTCAATTCCCCTACCTACTGAGGAATACAACCTCATAAATATAAAAACAAACACAGTTTTTTTTAACAATTAAGAGTTAAAAACATTAATTTGTATTTTATTTAAAAAAAATTCATTAAAATGTAGCTCCTCTGAATAAGGACAGTCAGACCAGTCTAAAACCAATAATCTCAAATAAAGATGGAGGTTCTTATGAGGTTATATTCATAGATATATTTTATTCAAATATTAATTAAATAATTTTAATGATTATATATTAAATATAAAATGAGGCAGTACAGTGGTACAGTTGGTAGAGCAACATGTTGCCAATAAGGAAGAAGGTTCTAGATCAACTTCCTGTTCTCCAGGT